GCATATATAGGGCCAGGCAGGGCCTCGTCCCCCCTACATCCAGCACACTGCACCCAGACAGCGCTGCCGGGAGGATGGGGGTGCCGCAGAGAAAGAGGCTTCTGCTGCTGCTCAGTGTCTGGCTGGGCCTGGCCCGGGCAGGGCAGGACCAAAGCCAGGTGCCCGTGCAGCCCGGGTTCAGTCCTGAGCAGGTAGGGCCGCAGGAGAGGGGGCACATCCGGCGGGCATGGAGCACGTGGCCCCCAGTGCTGTGGCCCAGGCTCTGGGGAGGGCGGGTCCCCAGGGCCACCAGGGTTAGGACGGGGCCTCCCTTGCAGGCCGAGGGACACTGGTACACCATCAAGCTGGGAGCCACCAACCCGTCCGCTGTGCAGGAGGGCGGCGCCTTCCGCTGCTTCATGACCAACATCAGGGGCCTGGAGAACGGGAACTTGAACGTCACCTACTTCCACAGGTAGCTGTGAGCCCCACACCTGGGCCCCAGCCCCGCCCAGCCAGCCCCAGCCCCAGCCGCTCACAGCCAGGCCCCCCAGCAGGGTCTGTGGCTCCGGCCTCTGGCCTGCTCCTGGGACACTGGGCAGCTCCGCGGTGAGCCAGGCGACCCTGTGGACTCAGGGTCCAGCTGGCACTGACCAGAACTGCTGCTGTCCTTCTAGAAAAGACGGAAAGTGTGTAAAGGAATTCTACATCGCTGAGCGGACCAACACACCCGGACGCTACACCTTTGAGTGTGAGTAAGCGTGACCGCAGCCTCGGGCTGGTCAGAGTGTGAATGTGGCTGAGGGGCAGGTTCCAGAAGAGGCCATGGTGGCGAGGACAGAGGCCACGGTACCCCCCCCCCCCCCCGCAATGGTCATCCCTGAGAGACTCTAAACCTCACAGCAGTGGACTCCACAGTGCATCCCCCCAGGGCTCCCCACAAACTGGGGGGCTCCTTCCCAGGACCCAGTGCAGAGCTGATCTGTCCAGAGAGGTGGAGGCTGGAAGAAGGGAGGCCAGTAGGGAGAGAAGGGAGGCTCCAGGGTTTCCCTTGGGGGGCAGAAGTTCCCAGCTTCTGCAGGAGCCTTTGTAAGGTGGGGGCAGAGGGGAGAACCCCAGCGTGCCTGGAGGGGGGGAAGTGGGTGCTGTGAAGACTGCGACTCGGGTCCACAGGCACCCTGCCACTTGCTAGACTGAGGCCTTGTGGCCTGAGGTTCGGGTGAGTCCGTTGAGGTTGGGGAGACGCTCGGGTCCTTCCTCATCTGCGTCTGTGCTTCTCAGCCGTCCTGGAGTACGAGACAGAGCCAGAGACAGAGAGACAGACAGAGACACAGAGACACAGAGACAGACAGAGACACAGAGACAGACAGAGACACAGAGACAGAGAGACCAAGAGAAACAGAGACTGAGAGACTGAGAGATAGAGAGATAGGGATAGAGACAGAGACAGAGACTGATATAGGCACAGACAGACAGGGAGACGGGAGGTGGAGAGAGACAGACAACGAAAGGGAAGCGGACAGGCGGGGGGTGGGGTCGGGGAGCGTGGAGTCTGGGTTCCTGCCGGCAGGTTTGGGCTGGGCCAGCTGGGGGTGCAGAGCCCGTGGGGGACCCCAGGCACCGGCAGACTTCCCGCTCACTCCCTCTTGCTTTCACAGATGGAGGCAGAATCTACCTGACGTTTGTGGTCCTGAACCGTGACGTTGCCATCATTGACTTGGAAAGCCACAGCGATGCCAGCCCCTTCATCGTGGTGGAGCTCCACGGTGGGCGCGGCCTCCACGGGGAGAGGGAGAGAGGGAGGGCCGTGCCTGGGAGAGTGGGGACCTGGGACTTTGTGCTGGAGGGGTGGAGGGACACCGGCAGGGGTGAGGGGGGCCCCTCCCAGGGCCCCCTCCCTCCCTCTGGCATTCCCTGCCTCAGGCTCTGGCAGCTGCAGAGCCCTTTGGTCACCTGGAATCTCCTGGTGCCCCCTCCCCGCCCCGTGGCTGCAGGCAGGAGTCTGTCCCCCGGCAGGCAGGGGCTGGATGCCTACAGGCAGCACATGGACAGAAGAGGCCTGGGTCAGAGCCACTCTGTGGACCTGGTTCTCGCTCGTAAGCGGCCCTCGCCCAACCCTGCTTCCTGCTGGAGCCCAAACTGCTCCGGCCCTTCCAGAGGTGCTGGGCAGGGTGCCGGGCCGGGTGCCGGGCAGGGTGCCGGGCCGGGTGCCGGGCGGGGTCTGTGGGGGGCTCTGCAGAGCTGGAGCTGCATCTGGGGTGGGGGAGAGCTGGGGGGGATGGAGAGGAACCCCAGACCGTGACTGCAGCTTCTCTGGTCCACAGCGAGATGCGACTCCCCGGAGTAGATGTGCGTCAGGTGAGTAGACGCCGCCACCCCTGGTGCTCTGGCAGGCGGTCTTGGGAGACCCCAGGCATACTGACCCCATGCAGGCTGGGACCCCAGGGGCCACTCGCTCTGGATGCCGGGTCCCAGGGCCCAGCCCAAATCAGAACACCTCGGGAGCCGGGAGTGCCTGGGTGCCGGGTTCGTGGGGCTGGATACAGCCTGGACGCTGTATCTCAGGGCTGATGGCAGCTTCCAGCCTCCCAAGGGCACAAGGCGGCAGCGGGGCCCAGCTTGCTTCCACTCACCCTCTGCACGCCTTACTGCGTGCATGCGTGCACACACGCCCGTGCACACGCGCACCCGTGCACACGCGCACGGGCCTCCTGACTGCTCCCTACTTGGCCACTCTTTGCATGGAATCCCTGCACACAGTGCCCCCCTCTGGCTCTGCTGGGCCTGGCTCTCCCTCCCGGGCACCACACAGGCTGCGCCCGCCCTCCAAGCCTGGCGACCACCCCAGGCAGCCCGCTGAGGCCTGTGCACACCTGTCCATGCCAGCAGCTCAAGAATGCGGGGTGCCTGGCTCCCCCAGACTCTCCCACCCCAAGAATCACAGGCCAAGCCAGGGCAGAGGCCAAGGCCTGGTGACCTTGAGGGTCTATGACCATGATTGACAGGGCTCAGAGCGAGGCCCCGAGGATCTGGGGGTCTGAGAGCATGGCCATCTTGCTTAGCTGGTGGTTACACAGGGCCTGGGGGACACAGCAGGACTGCAGCAAGGGAGGGGAGGGAGGGCAGGTCTTGGGGGGAGGGGGCAGACGCCGGGAAAGGCCTAGCCTCCCCCAGCACGTGGGGCACCCTGCTGGGCTGGACACCTGCAAAGAGCTGCGGCTTCCCCAGGTCCCAGCGGGCAGGGAGCCAGCCTTTCCTGTGACCTGTGCCTTTGGACACCTCCTGACCTTCAGCCCCCTCCCCTGCAATAAACCAGCTCTGCACCCACACCTGGCTCCATTGCTTGGTCTGTTCTCTATGGCAGCCAGGAGACTCTGGCGCTCAGAGGCATGGCGGGAGCCCCTCTGGGGGAGGAGGGGAGAGGAAGCCCATGTGTCCCCACCCCCAGAAGCAGAGGTGCAGGCTTCTGCCGAGCCTCCCGGAGGGCGGGCCATGGGGTCCCCACAGGGGAAGGCCCAGGCTCGGGACAGCAGACAGGCTCTGAGCAGGCCTCTGGGGATGCTGAGCCCTCTTCTGGTTCAGACCGAGGTCGGGGCCACACCATCCACTCAGTCTGTCGCATGGGGGCTGTGTGCTTCCGCGGCCAGAGGAGCAGAGGGGCAGCACAGCTGAGCCCTGGCCTGTGCCTGCTCCTCCACAGGGCACGCGGACGGAGTCAGAGCCGAGTTGGCCAGGACGGGTGCTGCACAGCCGGGCACCGGGGACAGGCTGAGGTTCTGCTTTGCCCGCGGCCCGAGTCGCAGGCTCAGTGGCCAGGGGTGGGAGGCTGGCCCTCTCCTTGAGAGTCAAACCTGGCCTGGCCAGGGCTGTGCCCTTCCAGGCAGGGCATATCTGGTGATAAACCCCAGCTGCCCCGGGAGGTTGCTCAGCAGCAGTGGGCTTTCCTGGGAGCCCCAGGGTGGGCAGGAGTGGAGCGGCCTAGGGTCAGCCTGAGTGTCCACGCTGGGCCAGGCCCCGCTGCACCGGCTGCGCAGCGGCCCAAGGAGGCCTGAGCACCGCGTCTCGGGCAGGCCAACACCCCACAGGTGAGAGGGGAGAGGCCTGGAGGGGAGGCGGGGCCCAGGGAAAGGTATCCCATTTGGGGACCAGCTGGTTGCTTTGTGGCCACATCGAGTAGGCCGCGCCTGGCTGGGGACCTGCACTGACCCCTGAGGCAAAGGAAGCAGGTACCCCCTGCCATCCTGACACGTGAGCAGGGTGGTTCTGGAGCAGGGAGAAGGGCTGGGGTGAGCCGTTCTCAGTGATAGATAAACATGGCTCTGTCTGGCACCCAGCATGCATGGAGCCCCCATCCTGGGGGCCATCTGCCCTGTAATCCCCACGCCCACCCTGAGAGCTTCCTGTAAGGACAGGGAGCAGTCCTCACGTCCTCCTGGGGGGTCAGTGGGCAGGGGCACAGCAGGACAGGACAACTGGCCTGCGCAGGAGGGTGGAGCCTGCATGGAAGCAGAGCAGCTGCACCCTGCTGTGTTCCCTCAGCCTGCTGGGCTCCCAGCCCAGTTAAGGCGGCCTCCCAGGCTCCCAGCCCGGTTAAGGCGGCCTCCCAGGCTCCCAGCCCGGTTAAGGCGGCCTCCCAGGCTCCCAGCCCGGTTAAGGCGGCCTCCCAGGCTCCCAGCCCGGTTAAGGCGGCCTCCCAGGCTCCCAGCCCGGTTAAGGCGGCCTCCCAGGCTCCCAGCCCGGTTAAGGCGGCCTCCCAGGCTCCCAGCCCGGTTAAGGCGGCCTCCCAGGCTCCCAGCCCGGTTAAGGCGGCCTCCCAGGCTCCCAGCCCGGTTAAGGCGGCCTCCCAGGCTCCCAGCCCGGTTAAGGCGGCCTCCCCGGCTCCCAGCCCGGTTAAGGCGGCCTCCCCGGCTCCCAGCACAGGCTCCCAGCCTAGTTAAACTGCCCCAGCAGCCACACCTCATCTCTGCCTCTTACACACAGGGAAGAAGCAAGGCTGCTTGCAAGTGTGGGAGGACTGGGACATGCAGACTCATGTGGACAGCAGGGCTGGTCAGCAGCTGCTGAGGACAAGGAGCCACTGGAAGACGTCCCTCAGACCAGCTGCTGGCCAGGACCCTGGTGCCGTGATGCTGCGGGGCGCGTGGCTGCTAGTGCTGAGCCTGGGTCTGGGCCTGGCCAGGGCACAGGAGACTCTGGAAGATGTGCCAGCGCAGCCGGGCTTTGATGCACACAAGGTGAGTGCTGTGGCTAGGCCACAACGTTAGCACTGGACATGGACAGGACCTCCACGCAGCACTGGACATGCACGGGCCTCCACACAGCTCTGCTTCCTCTCTGTACGGAGAGGGTGGACGGTGCCATCCCGGGAGGGACAGATAGAGCATCACAGCAAACAGCCGCCCCAGGGAACACAGCTCTGACCAGACTTGAGTGAACAGAGGATGTAGAGAGAGGAACGCAGGGAAAAGGGGAGGGGAGGAGGCAGTCCTAGAGAGAGGACAAAGGGCAGTACTTCAGAAGAAAGGGCACTGTGGGGCCCGGCCTGGCCTGGAGACTGGAGACAGGGGACTAGCCAGCTTCCTGTGCCTGTGCTTGTGCCCTGCAGGTGGAGGGACGCTGGCTCACCGTCCAGCTGGCCAGCAGCCGCACAGACCTGATGCTGCCCACCGATCCTCTGAAGCTGTCCCTCGACTCCATTCGAGCCAGTGAGAATGGGGACGTGGAATTCCTGTTGTTCTGGAAGTGAGTGAGGCCCTGAACTTCCTCCGGCTCAGGCCTGGGCCCCAGGGTGGGGCTGTGCCACCGGCCAGGTGGGTGGCACGGGTTTCAGAGGAAGGAGAGGAAGGGCACACGGCGCCCGTCTCCATGCCCTGCCGCCGTCCAGCCCCCACGTTGAGGGGTGCCGTGCTTCAAAGGGGTCAGCTCACTCCCAAGAACCCGGGTGCATCCAGCATCTCCAGCTGCCCAGCACCAGCCTGCCCATCCCAGTGGAGGGCGGGGACCCAGGGAAGGAGGGCACCGCACCGGGGAAGTAGGTCAGGTGGTAAGCTGCCCAGGGCCCAGTGTGGCCAACTTCAACCCAAGTACTGGTTCTGTCTATACCTGCAGTGTAGAGCCTCCTAATGTCAACCCGTGCTGCACACGGCCACAGAGCAGCCTGTGGACCCGGTGGTCACTCAGCACAGACCTCCCAGCCCACTCGAGAATCTGCAGACCTGGGACAAGGGGCACACTGGCAGGGGCGGTGTCCATGTGGGGCTGGGACAGGGGCCGTGTCCACTCGGGGCTGGGGCGGGGGCCCACAAACAGGACAGGGTCCCCAACCCCATGAGCCATAACTCAGCTGAGGACACCTGGGTCCGGTGCCCTCCAGTAGATAAGGACTCATCTCACGAGAGAGACTGTTCTCCATGTCTGCCAGGGTCTCCCAGGTACCCACAGCCCCGCCTCCTCCTGAGCGGCGCCCAGGGACCTGAGAGCCCCTGGGGGTATGCCATGGCTCTGTCAGGACCGCTCCTTCCTCTCCCCCCAGAGGAAAGGGGCTGTGCACAGGACTAACCACCACTGTGCGCCCGACGGGGCGGCCGGGCCAGTACCGCGGCACTGGTGAGTCCCCCTGCACCCCCAGCTCGGGCCTGCACCGGCCAGGGGCCGGCCGGGTGCAGAGACATCCTGACCAGCACCAGAACAGCTGCTGGCTTCAGGGAGCTGCGTGTCCTCTTGCTGGGCACCACGCTGCCCATGGGGGTGCTGGGGCTGGGGACGGGGGCATTGCGCGTCACCTGGGTCGGGTCCCTGCAGTGCCGGGAGGCAGCCTGCACGTCTCCTTCGTCAGCACCGACTACGAGTACCTCATCCTTTACGCGCGTTTGGAGGACGGTGAGGCCACCAGCCTGTGGGCGCTGCTGGGTGAGTGGCCGGGTCTCCCCGGGTGAGCCAGTGCCACCCCTGGGTCCCCAAAGGGGGGGGGCCTCTGCGCTCCACAGGTCTGAGCGGAGCCTCGCTCCTCTGGGAAGGGGTCCCCTGTGCTCGCTGTGTGTGGGGCGTGGGCGCCTCAGAGCGGCCACCCGGCGACCCGGCCCCTCCGTCCCCTCACCCGGCCATTCCGCCAACGGGCACTGTGAGGCTGAGCACCCCGCATGGTCTCACCCCGTGGGGCTATCGGCAGTGGGGAGAGCCTGAGGGGTACAGCATCCCCAAAATGGGTAGAAGTGGGCACTGCCAAGGGGCTGGAGGGCAAGCCAGGGCCTGGGAGGCAGGGACAGTGGTCCAGAGCGCCAAAGGGGGGCAGCCGGACAGGTGCGAAGTCAAGGTCACCTGGAGGACACGGGTCTTCCGTGGCGTTGGGGACCAAACCCAAGGCAAAGCGGGCAACACCTACCATACCCCCGCCCCATACCTGTTTAGAAGAGACCAGAGGGGGCACTCCCTGGCCTGGGAGGCAGCCAGGAGCTGGCACCAAGCTTCACCAAGGTTCTCTAGTCGTGCCTCCCCAATGGGGTCTGGCTGCCCTGGCCAGCCTCCTGGTCCTTCACCCTGGAGGAGGGGCAGCCTCCAGAGGAGCTGGGGGCTCCCCCATGACCTCCTGCCCGCCCTGTGCAGCAAGGACCCTGCCTGTGGACCCCAAGTGGCTGGGTCAGTACCTGGGGTACGTGGAGAAATTCCACCTGCAGGAAGCCCCGGTCTCCAACGCGGATGGTAAGTGCTGCCCCCCTCCCCCCCCCCCCCGGCGCCCTACGCTGGCCAGGACAAGGGTGAGTCCCGTCCTCTCGAGCAGGGACCCCATGAGTAATGACAGCCAGCAGAACAGCACAACAAACGTGGCCAACTTCCATGGTGCGCCCTTGGTGGCTAGACCTGTGCCGGGCACGTCGCCCGCCCGCGATGGCGCCCTCCACAGATGTGGCTCGGAGGGGCCCAGGGTTCGGGAGTGCCTGAGGGCGGCTCGGGCAGGGGGAGCAGCCTGTCCGGCCCGGTGCCCAGCCTCTCCCCTGCACCGCCTTCTCAGCGCCACTTAATCCACACACACACACCCCGGCCCGCCCCGAGCCAGGAATGCACTAGAACTGGTCGGGCACTGCCTCCGGGCCTCAAGCATGCCATGCTGCGAAGCCAGCTCGTCAGGAGCGATCCTCAGGGTCAGGCTGGTGGCGGGGCCTGGCCAGGGTCTGGGCGTGGAGCACTGCTGCTCTGGGTTCGGGTCCGAGGAGAACACGTGGCAGGAAGGGTGGGTGGGAAGACGCCGGCCAGGCCAGGCCAGAGGCCGGTTCTGTGCAAGGATTGATCCGGTGGGTGGGAAGACGCCGGCCAGGCCAGGCCAGAGGCCGGTTCTGTGCGAGGATTGATCCGGTCATTAACTAATCAACCTCAGAATAATGGAACAAAGCCTGAGACTCACTATTTTCTGCCCCTCCACAGGCCAGTGCCCTCCAGCCGGGCCCAGGGGGGGCACTCCCCTTCAGCCCCGGCCTCTCTCCTAAGCCCCCCCCTTCACCTTGGCTTGTGCCCAGGAAGCCCCTCAGGGGCCTGGGAGAGCCCCTCCCGCCCGGGGCTGAGCCCCACCACCTGTGGATCCCCAGGTCCCGCAAACCAAGTGCACCAAGGCCCCCGGTCTGGCCATGACTGGAACACCCCCCAGGCCCATGAGCAGGGTGTGCAGCCCCCCGCCGCTCCAGCTTCAGGAGCAGAGCACTGTGTCCCCCGTGCTCACTCAGGGCTGATGGGGCCCATGGTCCCCCCCCCCTCCAGTGGTGGCCCAGGAAGGGCCTGTCCCAGACGACAGGACCTGCGCTGGGCCTGTGGAGGTAAGCTCCACGCCCTGCACAAACACAGCACGTGCCACTGAGCCGGAGGACTCCCCCTCCCGTGCTCCTGAGAAGAGCCAGACTGGGCTGCCAGGAATCAGACTGGTGTGCTCTGTGCGACAGGTGAAGCGGGCCAGGGCACGCCCACCCTGAGCCACGGCCCTCCGCGGTGAGCCTGCCTCTGCCCGGCCGCCCAGCAGGCTCGCCCACCCCAAGCCACGGCCCTCCGCGGTGAGCCTGCCTCTGCCCGGCCGCCCAGCAGGCTCGCCCACCCCGAGCCACGGCCCTCCGCGGTGAGCCTGCCTCTGCCCGGCCGCCCAGCAGGCTCTGGAGAACCTGGCCAGCCATTCAACGCAGGCTGGAGGTGCTCAGGACAGGCCTGGCCCCACGGCTGCCAGCAAACACCCTCTGCAAACCGCCAGGAGAGGCCAGGCCTTGGCCACCCTTCCTCCATCAGCCATGGGAGATAAGCAGGGCTTGATGAGAGCGGCGGCTGCTCTGGGACTTGGCACTCCCATGTGGGGCTCCGAGTGTCCATTCACAGCAGTGACGAGTAGGACCCGGCACAGACGCCGGGCACAGCGCCCTCCCGGAGATCTGCAGCCCTCGGTGGGAAACCGCCACAGGGACACCATCCACCCAGCAAGGACGACTTTGGGGAGGATAACAACTACTTGTTCTGACGTGGAAATGACTTGCAGCTGGGGTGTGACCGTGATTAAGCACCTGCCTAGCAAGGCTGAGGCCCCAGGTTCTAGCACCAGGAAAAAAAAAAAAGACTTGTAGACTAGAGGTGTGACATGCCTTCATTTTCTCAGTGTCGTAAAGACTCTATAACCCCCAAATTAATCTGTGCTGCAACCAATTCAATCAATCCTCCAGGGAAAACTACTTCTCCAAAGACAGACAGGAAAGGAAAATGGGCTGGATAGTTGGGGGGTGGGGAGACAATGGGAGGTAGGGGAGGGAATTAACAAAGAGGGCAAATGAGGATGAATACAGTGGTCATATTCATTTGCTTGTATGAAAACGAGACCACGAAGCTGTTGAAATTGTTTTAAGGAAGAGGGGAGTGGTCGAGGGGTGGGGCTGGTGGGAATACATTGTGTACACACGAAAAGGTCACAGGCACACACAACTCTTGCACAACTTTTAAAAATAAAATGTTGAGCCGGGCACCAGTGGCTCACGCCTGTAATCCTAGCTACTCAGGAGGCTGAGATCTGAGGATCTCGGTTCAAAGCAGCACAGGCAGGAAAGCCCATGAGACTCTTATCTCTAATAAACCACTAGAAAACCAGAAGTGGTGCTGTGGCTCAAACGGTAGAGCGCTCGCCTTGAGCTGAAGAGCACAGGGACAGCGCCCAGGCCCAGAGTTCAAGCCCCACAACAGACAAAAGATAAAATGAAATAAAATGTTGAAAAGAGGCAACACTTTCCTGACTGCACATAAAATTGCATGTAAAAAACTAAAAAGAAAATTGTAGGGACGGGGTTGTGGCTCCGTGGTGGAGTGGCAGGTGGAAGGCCCTGAAGTTCCATACCCAATGCCACAAAAGGAAAAAAGCAGGCCTGGTGTGGTGGCTGGGAGAGGCTCATGTGACAGAGCACCTGTCTAGCAAACATGAGGCCATTGTGCAGGCTCCAGTGCCACCAACAGTCACATACATATATCCATGCTTATATGTATTTACACACATACATATATGTGCTTATGCACACTTATATAATTGTGTGTATATAATTTTAATTACATATACATGCATACATGTGTGGATGTGCATATGCGCATGTGTGTATACGAATGTGTATAATAAGCATATGTGTGTATACACACACACATGCACACACAAAGAATTGGAGAAAACATTTGAGCTTTTTGGCACAGGTAGGAACTTTCTGAGCAAAGTTCCGGGAGCTCAGCAAATCAAGAGACTTGACAAATGGGATTGCATCAAACTAAGAAGTTTCTTCACAGCAAAAGACATAGCTGACAAGCTAAAAAGACAGCCTATAGAATGGGAGGAGACCTTTGCCAGCCATACATCACCAAAAGATCTGATATCCAGACTGTAGAAAGAGCCCAAGAAACTAAACCCTCAGAGAAGCAACAACCCAACTAATAACTGGGCAAGTAAGTGAAATAGAGACTTCTCAGAAGGAGTAAGACGGTGAGCAAACATATGGAGAAATAGTCAACATCTCTGGCCATAAGGAAAATTAAATCAAAACAGCACTGAGATTCCATCTCACTGTGGGTAAAATGGCCATCATCAAGATTACAAATGGGAGGAATGGGAAGGGGAAATGGGAGAAAGCAAAGGAAGGGTGACATTGTCCAAAAGAGAAATGTAGGCATTACCTGGATTGTGCATGGTAACCCCACTGTGCAATACCTTAATAACAACAATAAAATCATATTTAAAACAGAATACAAACAACAACAGACATGTGGATATATATGCAAATGCACCCTAATATATTATTGCTGGGAATGTAATCTTATTCGGCCACCCTGGAAAGCAGTGTGGAGAATCCTCAAAAAAACTAAACATAGAACTAACCTACGGTCCAGTAAAACTGCCAACACAACCATGTTTATTGCGGTTCTATGCACCATATGCAAGGTATGGAAACAGTTCAGATGCCCCTCAATGGATGGATGGAGAAAATGAGCTATACATACATAACGGAATTCTAGTCATCCACTGGGAAGAATGATACTACATCATCTGCAAATGAATGAATGGACCTGGAAAAATTTATGTCAGGTGAAGTAAATCAGGCCCAGAGACAAAGGACATGTGTTTTCTCACTATGTGGGAGGTAGATCTAATTTCTAAATATACAAGTAGGAAGTGGCGCTGTAGCTCAAGTGGTAGAGCGCTAGCCTTGAGCTGAAGAGCTGAGGGACAGCACCGAGGCCCAGAGTTCAAGCCCCACGACCGACCAAAAAAAAAAAAATGAGCTAAATATACAAGTAAACACTCATGGGGAACACAGATATATTATCCAAAGTATGACATGTGCAGTGAGGAATTCAAGTGGGTAATTCCTAGAAAAACAAAGTCACAGCCCACAAAATGAATGCCTGGAAGCTGGGACTTAAGATGAGGAGGAGGCCCAGGGGAGGAGGGAGATGAATGGGAAAGGGGTGCGGGAGGAGGCAGTCAGAAGTCAACGCGTATCCTATGCATCTATGAGAGTGGGGGGGGGGGAGGCGTGCGGGAGGAATGGGAGAGTGGGGGGGGGGGTGCGGGAGGGATGGGAGAGAGTGACATTAGGGCCGATATCGATCACCGTGCATTGAACTTACAAACCAATTTCTTCAACGGTAATCCCTCTGTATGGCTACATAAAGATAATAAAAATATAATAATAATTTTAGGTTGAGGTATGGCTCAAGTGGTGAAGGAGCTGCCTAGCAAGCACAAAGCCCTGAGTTCAAACACCAGTACTACCACCAAAATCATCATCATCAAGTCATCATCATTTTGAAATCGCCTTGAAGAAGAAAGTCAGAGAAGATACCAGAAAGACCTACCATGTTCATGAATTAGTTGAATATCATGGCCATACTGACAGAAGCAATCTACTAGTTCAATGCCAAACCCATCAAAATCCCAATGTCATTCTTCACAGAGAAAGAACCACAAAACTGCTTAGAATTGCCAAGGCAATTAATCCTGTGGGAGAAGAAAAGGTAATGCTGAAAGTTAAACCATAACAGACCTCAGGCCTCTGAGTGCCACAGTCACAGAAGCAGCTTGGTACTGACACAGAAACGGACCTGCAGACCACAGGACAGACTCGCAGACCCCAGTGAAGCCCACGTACCTACAGCCTCCTCATTTTTTTTTTTTTACAAAGGAGCCAACATCATGTTAGAAAGAAAGTTAGCCTCGCGTCACGCTAACAAGCTTCTACATAGTGAAGGACGTAGTCACTGAGCTGAAAACCAGCCTACAGACTTGGAGATCTTTGCCTACTGTGCCTGACAAGGACTCCTAGCTAGACTCTACAGGGAGCTTAAAAAACTAAACCTGAGAGAGAACCTAACCCAGAGGCAGAGGGCCGAACAGACACCTCCCAGAAAAGAAAGGACCAATGGCCAATAACACATGCAATGTTCAACATCCCTGCAAATCACAACACCGAGATTCCATCTCACTCCAGTCAGAACGGCTGTCATCAAGAATACCAACAGCCACCAATGCTGGTAAGGATGTAGGGGCAGAGGAACCCTAATACACCGTCAGTGGGAATGTAAAATAGTGCAACCAAGATGGAAGCCAATATGGAGATTCCTCAAAAAAGACTCCCTACGATCTGATAATACCACCCTTGGGCCTTTACCCAAAGGATTGCAAGTCAGGATACAATAAAGACACCTGCCTATCCATGCTCATTGCTGCATTATTCACCATAGCCAAGGCATGGAAGCAGCCTAGATGCCCTACAACAGGCCAGAGCACCGAGAAAATGTTATATACATACATGTGCAATGGAATCAGGAAGAATGAAATTTTGTCATTTACAGGGAAATAAATTGACGTGGAAAAAAAAGTCATACTGAGTGAAGCAAGCCAAGCTCAGAAAGACAAAGGAGGAAGGTTTTCCCTCAGATGTGGATATCAGGCCTAAAGCAGAAAGATGCTTACAAACACATACAGGCTATATGCACACACACGTAATCCAAGTGTCTGAAGTATGATACACACAAGACTGGAGTTCCAGGCGTACAATGAATAATAACAGCTTTGAACAATAACAACTTAACAAGATGAATACAGGAAGCTAAAACACGTCTTAGATGGGATGAGGAGTCCACAGGAGCAGGACTGATGAATTCTAAGAATGGTGGATAAATACAGTTGTAATTGTCAATGGACATGTGTGAAAATGGGACTAGGAGGCTGGGGGGGGGGGGGGTAATGGGTCGGGTTGAGAGAGATTGAATGATGGAAGAGGGGACACCAATCAAGATGCATTGTACTCATATATTGATGTATTGTATTAATACCCCCTCATACGACTATTCAAAGACGATTTTAAAAATAAAAATAAATGATCAAGCCAGGTGCCGGTGGCTCACGCCTGGAATCCTAGCTATTCAGGAGGCTGACATCTGACGATCACAGTTCAAAGCCAGCCCTGGCAGGAAAGTCTATGACACTCTGATCTCCAATAAGCCACCAGAAAACTGGAAGTGGTGTTGTGACTCAAGTGGTACAGTGCTCGCCTTGAGCTGAACAGCTGAGGGACAGCGCCCAGGCCGAGTTCAAGACAAAAAAAAAAAAAAGATCAAAGCATATCACATGTATGTATGAAAATAACACAATATCTCTTTGTATAATTAATATGTTAAGAACATATCATAAAAATTGATGAATAAAGTCCACCTTGCCAGTCTGGACACTAATTTTTATGAAGGAACTTTATACATGGATTTTCATAAAGGATGAAGCATTGAATTTATGTTTTCTGTGAGCATAAATTAAAATGGGTCACTAATCATAGTTAAGACAATTACCAGGGCTGGGAAGGTGGCTCAGTGGTAGAGCGCTTGCCTTGCATGCCTGAGGCCCTGAGTTCGATTCCTCAGCACCACATAAGCAAAAATGAAAAAAGCCGGAAGTGGCGCTGTGGCTCAAGTGGTAGAGAGCTCGCCTTGAGCTGAAGAGCTGAGGGACAGCGCCCAGGCCCAGAGTTCAAGCCCCACGACCAAAAAAAAAAAAAAGGACAGTTGCCAAAGACAATCTGAATGAAAGGATAAAAGAACCTGTGAACAGCTGTTACCCTGAGACGCTGCTTTGACACCCAAGTGATGCTCATGACACCACCCTATAAAGCACCCCAGCTCTTCAAAGCCCAAGAAATCTCCTCCTGCAGAGTCTGGATTTCTCATGAAGAATGATGCTATAGTTTGCATGAAGTTTTTCGGACTTAGATTTGGTTTGCTTTTTGTTATTATTGTTTGGGCTGGTCCTGGGACTTGAACTCAGGGCCTGGGAACTGTCCCTGAGCTTCTTTTGCTCAAAGCTAGGGCTCTACCACTTGAGCTGCAGCGCCACTTCCAGATTTTTGAGTAGTTTATTGGAGATAAGAACCTAATGGACTTTCCTGCCCCCCCCCCGGGGGGGGGGGGCTGTGGAGGAAAGGGGTCCCCGGGGCACTGGCTCTGAACCATGATCTTCAGATCTCAGCTTCCAAATAGATAGGATTACAGATGGGAGCCACCAGCACTAGCCTGGACTGGGTTTTAAACAGAGCTTTGTACTAGATTTGCCCAAGCATCTGTCTGTCTAGAAAGCTGGTATCATGCAGAAGTTTGTTATTCCCTGGGTAGATATACAGAGTACAGTCTTTAAACTTGGATTGTCTTTTCAATCTGGAAAGCATGTTTATGTTCTAATTGAAAGGAACATTCGGGCTGGGAAGATGGGTCAGTGGTAGAGTGCTTGCCTTGCATGCCTGAGGCCCTGGGTTTGATTCCTCAGCACCACATAAGCAAAAATGAAAAAAGCTGGAAGTGGCGCTGTGGCTCAAGTGGTAGAGCGCTAGCCTTGAGCTGAAGAGCTGAGGGACAGCACCCAGGCCCAGAGTTCAGGCCCCACAACTGGGCCCCCCCCCCAAAAGTAAAATAATAAATAAATAAATAAAACATTCTCACAGCTCAGTGCAAAGAGGCTGAAGTAGAATATGTGTTTTTTTTTTTCAAATTGCTTCTGGTCATTGATAAAACTGTGTATTTGTAAAATTAATATAGTGTACGGGAACAACATAGTTTTAAATTATATTTTGAGAAGCTCTTTCCTTACACCTCCTCCCAAAAGTACAGAGGTCTCAGAGGAATCGGAGCCCATGCTTTAGTCCAAAAGCGATAACACATCAAAAGTTGGCCCTAGGGTAGTGTGAGATCTTCACAAACCTCACCTGTTGGGGGGGTTTGAACTTGGGATTCCAGCTATACTCTGGGGACAGCAGCTTGGTGGGTTTGTTGAGGAAGAAGTACTTGTTGAGGTACTTTTCGTAGGTGCTGTTAACTCCATTTTCCATGTCCTGGATAGCATCTTTTAGGTACTCATTGATGAGGTTCAAAACCTTCTCTGGTGTGCCACCAACAATGGAGCTGCCATAGAAGAAATCTCCCTGACCGAAGGGGATGTAGGCTGCGGATTTCAGCCTCCTCTCGTAGGGGAAGTTTTTGGTGTTTCTAAAATACCACCAGGAATGAAGCAAAGCCACCGATGTGCCCAGAGTCTCCACCCCAAATTCACTCTCGAAGACCAGGTTGGTGGACATACTGAAGAGAAAATCCACCTCGTACTGGATGTGCTCCAGGATGTGTTCACCCAGGAACTTCATGCACATGAGGTCAGAGTTGTACGACCAGTTCTTCTCATGCAGCGGGATGATCTGGAAGGACCGCAGAGGGCTGAGCTCCATGGGCAGCAGGTTAGGGTAGGTGTCCACCATGATATAGAAGATCACCCTGTGACCGGGCATGAAGAACTTGTTGGCTGACCGTAGGAACAGATCCAGGTCGTTTTCTGCAAGCCTGGGGGCACACAACAGCAAAGACAACGGGCCTGGTTTTCTATGTGTTCTCTGGGGAATCCATGTAGTTGAATGTTCTACCTAACACAAACTTCACTGGTGCTCATGAGCCCCAGTAGGTTGGGGTTGAGGAGTCATCCCTGAAGATCCATCACTCAACTTTGTGAGCAAGCACGTAGTAACAGAGCAGACCTGGCAACAGCCACAGTGTTTTAGATCAAGGAAGCAAGAGCTAAGAAGACATCAGGAGAAGGGAGTGGGGAGAAGGGGATAGGGGGATAGATAGACAGACAGACAGACAGACAGACAGACAGACAGACAGACAGACAGACAGACAGATAGATAGATAGATAGATAGCAGACAGACAGAGAGGGCTGGGAATGTGGCTTAGTGGTAGAGTGCTTGCCTAGCATGCATGATGCCCTGGGTTTGATTCCTCACATAAACAGAAAAAGCTGGAAATGGCATGGTAGCTCAAGTGGTAGAGTGCTAGCCTTGAGCAGAAGAAGCTCAGGGACAGAGCCCAGGCCCTGAGTTCCAACCCCAGGACTGGCAAAAAGAGAGGAAGGGGATGGATGGGGAGAAAGAGAGAGAGAGAGAGAGAGAGAGAGAGAGAGAGAGAGAGAGAGAGTTCTCAAGTGGCCTTAGGAGCCCAGATATAATATACCAAACTAATTACAGCAAACTTCTTACACAGACGGCCAGAAGTAGCAGTTATAGTAAATAACAAACACCTCTCTTTCCAAAACAAGGCAAAGTATAGCAGCACCTACTTGCCAATGGCAAAGACAGCCAAGCCCACGGTGATGTTCTGGTAATATTTCTCCAGGGGCTGTCTATTGAACAAGCCTTCCCACACAACCGGGGCCAGCCAGTCTGTGGTGGTGATGACGTCCAAGCGGCTTCTGCAGACACACAAGAGCGAGTCACGTGGGACACTGCACTCGGCCAGCCCCAGGGCCACTGAGAGCTCTGGCTCTGCAACCACTGGGTCTGGGCATGCGTCCCTCACCCCGACCTCCGGTGCGGTGGAGCGCGTGTCTCACACCCCAGCACGGGGGGGACACATGGCAGAGCCAGACCGCTGCTCAGCCAGCCCGGCACGCCAGGGTCTGTGGGTTCTTGGTTACTGGCTGCAACCAGCACTCCAGGTGGGACTGACTCCCACCACTGCCTCTACTTCCCCTCCTGCTCCTTGTCTTTCTATGCCTATGTACTGTGCTCACACGGGCTTTGAGCTGTTTGTGTGACCCAGTAGACAAAGTTGAGTCAAAAAAGGGGGGAAAAAAGCAAATATTGATTTGCTCTTGATCAAGGAAACAGCAACAGGCTGATTCAACTTTGCAAATCAACTTAAGCTTTGATCTATCAAAGGCTAAAAATAACCACACGGCCATATCAGTTGAACAGAGTACTGTACAGAGTCCAATCCACATTCGTGATTTTTAAAACAAACTTATAAGAAATACAGCTGGGAGAATCCTCTCATCTTGATTTAAAAAAATCTACAAAACTCCTACAGCTTACACACTTCATGGTGGGGTCCTGAGTGCTGCTCCGTCAGCCCAGGAGCCCGGCGGGGAGCCCTGCCCCCCCCCCTCAGCACAGTATGGGCGTTCCAGCCACGATAATAAGAGGGAGAAAAAAAGGAAATAAAGGCATCAGACTAGAAGGGGAAAAATACTGCCACAAAACAATTGGCTCTTTGATTGCACGGAAAACTCTAAGAAACTAAGAAGAAGAAAAATCTGGAACTATAAATGAAAAAAAAAAAAAACTATAAAGGAAAGTATGCTCAGTCAGGACCATATAGTCCATTACTAGGATTCAGGATAGTGGTTAGTTCAAAGGTGGGTGGAGAGACGCTAAGGGAGGGGCAGGCGGAAAGCCAGCCACCAGGATGGGAGGCTGGAGTTTCTCTCACTGAAAATAAGCAAACCAACACATATGAGTGGATTTTGTAGGGGACGGCCAGGGCAATTACGAACCATTGTGTGTGATCAATCTAATTCCAGGCCTGTGAGGTCCGCTGAAAATACAACCGTGCAAAAGGAATCCACAAGGGCTGGGAAGGTGGCTCAGTGGTAGAGCGCTTGCCTTGCATGCCTGAGGCCCTGGGTTCGATTCCTCAGCACCACATAAGCAAAAAGAAAAAAGCCGGAAGTGGCGCTGTGGCTCAAGTGGTAGAGCGCTAGCCTTGAGCTGAAGAGCTGAGGGACAGCACCCAGGCCCGGAGTTCAGGCCCCACGACCGGACCCAAAAAAAAAAAAAAAAAAAGGAATCCACAAAAGATAAAACATATAAAAATGTCCAAACCCCTCTGTAAGTACAAGAACGCAAATGGACTTGAGTCAGCCTGACAAGCAATTGTGCCAAAAACAGCTAGTGATGTTTCACTTATCCAGACTAGGTAAGAAAATAAAGTGGGAAACTTAACAGCTTTACATTTTTTTTTGCCTAGTCATGTCCTTTTAGAATTCTCTCCCACAAATAACACAACCAGTACCAAAAACAAACAAACAACAAACGCACAGTGTATGTAACGTCAGGGACCACACAGGGTCCTAGCCCCCAAATCAAGGCTGCCGTGGCCTTTCCCCACCACTTCCAAATGTGGCCTGAACAAGCCCCCAGACCTGGCCACGCTGTCCGTCTCAGTGACTGGCTTTTTGCTAACTCTAAAGCCGCCCACGTGAGCGCAGGGGTGGAGAGCATCCCCCCCACACACACACACACATGCCGGCCATGACATGAGGAAGCTCAATTACACTGCCGCCACTCCACTGGTTACTTCCTTCCTCACCGCAGCCACAGACACCCCAGGCCCTGTGTAGGGGACGGGGAGACCTGACACTTGCTGTCCGTCCCCACACAGAGAGACGGCCTCTTGAATAAAGCCGCATAGCCCCGGCTGTGACATTCTGTATGGCAGATGGGATGGGTTTGGTGACATCTCTGCTGCTGCAGACCCAGGATTGTCAACCCAGGCAGAGCCTCACGACAGCACCTCTGCCGGGTCCAGAGCCCGCTGGGCCGGCTGGTGGCAGCCTGGCTGGCGCACGGTCCTGGAACAAGTCCTGCACTCTGGCGGCCCCCGGAGTCACAGTTAGCACATTGGAAGAAAACTTACCACTCCAGAGTCAGATCTTATGTTTGTGGACGCTGCTTGCTCTTACCTAGGCTTAAACCAGTCTGAGAGCTTGAGCTGGCCTCCTTGTTTATTCCTAGTGCAAAGGAAACCCAGGTTAGCACAGAATCCACTTGAGCCACAGACACTTGTGCCCCGTGCAGAGCGGCCTGCCCCGGGCAGGACATGCAGTGATGGCCTGAGAGCCGTCACTGACATCTCCTCCCGCAGTGTCCCCTCTGCTTTCAAAGACGAGTCATTCAAAAAAAAAAAACTCTGGGTTTTTGCTTGGTTGGGTTTGGTTTTGGAGGCAGGCCTGGAAGTGACAATCTCCTGTCTCTGCCTCTGAGAGCTGGGTCATAGCGTGCCCACAGAGCCCGGGCCGCCAGCCTTTGTCTCTCATGTTGCTCTTGTTTATTTCTGGGGCCCAGAGCAGAAAACATGGCCAGACGATATTGCTCTTACCTAACAAGTAGCCTTGTTCCCCGTGGAGGTGACCTGGACAGTGAGCGTCACACACTGGTCCTGGGCAGGCACGGGGCATGGAGCCCGGCCGGCTTGCTGTCACCCTTAGCAGAGGTGGCCCCCGGGTTCCTCTGCCAGCAACCACTTCAGGTTGGCACCAGACCAAATCTGGCTGATCCCAATGCTTTCAGTACCAGGGGCACATTCCCTTCCTGCCAGCCGAAAGACCCCAAGCCACTGCCCCTTCCTGGCTAAGCCCCTAGAGATGCCTGGTACAGCTGAGACACACGGCCTTGACCGGTAAGTCTGCCTCCCAGACAGACAGGAAATCCCAGCCCCTAGGCAGCACGCCTACCTCACCTAGACCCCTCCCTGGCCGGCTCTGGGAGGTGCCCCCTCTCTCCCCAGAAGGCAACCTGCTGAGAGGAGGAGGCTCCTCTTACAGGGGCCTGTCCAGAGCTCAGCAGTGCCGCCATTTCATTCCTTGTTCTTTTAATAACCATCCCTCAAGTCTGACATCCCCTCACACACTTGCACACACACTCTCACACTGTCTCTCACGCTTCATGCCTGCTAGCCCACACAGAGGCCTGGCCAGCAGAAGCACCTTTGCTGTGGAGAGGTCTGTCAGATGAAGCTGAGTACAAGACACGCAAGAAACACCTTTATACTGCATGTCTACGGAACGGGGCATGTTTCTTCCACTGATGCATGGTTTATCTGATATGTAACTGGATCTCTCTACTTTGATTTCAACCCTACTAGTAAAGTAGTAAAGGTACTAGTAGTAAAGGTTCCTTTATACTTTAAATAGGGAAAAAAAGGTAAGCTTTCAATATGGACAAAGACCTACTGCAATTTGAACTTGTATGTGTGTGCGTACGCATGTGAGTGTGTGTGTGTGTGTGTGTGTGTGTGTGTGTGTTGGTCCTGGGGCTTGAACTCAGAGCCTAGGTGCTGTCCCTGAGCTTTTTCACTAAGGCTAAAGCTCTATCACTTGAGCAACCACTCTACTTCTGGCTCTTTGCTGCCCAATTGGAGATAAGAGTCTCACAGACTTTCCTGCCCAGGCTGGCTTCAAACCACAATCTTCAGAGCCCAGCCTTCTGGGTAGCTATGAGTACGGGCGTGAGCCACTGATGGCAGGCTCCTACTATCCTTTTTATGGCACAGCCCAATCATGTACTTGGCACTTTCTATTCTCTCAAATCAAAGCTCCCTGAGGACAGAAACTTTGGACCCCATAGGTTGCACATAAGTGTTAGGTGTCTATCAAAGAAAGCAGATGTAATTTGTCCTACAAACAGGCAGTAACTTCTGACTAAACTGCGTGCTGCTGTCCATTCTAGAAAGGATGCAGCCACTCAGAGCAGTTCTGTCAGTCTCTGGAAGTCCAAGTGATCAATCCTTAATGTCTACCTGAAATAGTGCTTAGCCATCAGCAGTGATAAAAGGAATGAAACCAATAACAGCATTCGTGTTTTGGAATTCATTCTCTCCTAGGAGGAAAGAGAAGAGAAAAAAGGTTAGACACTGTCCAGGCTACATCCTTATCCTGCTGACAAGGGATAATTTTTGTCCAAGACATTTGGGTGTTGATCTGGGGCTTTGTTTGTACGAGGCTCAGCCTCCAGGAGGGAGGCTGCTCTGAGCTCGGCACTGAACCTGGGCCGGCCGTGTTCCCACATGGAAGATGAACCGCTGGAGCCAAGACTGTGGTTGTCCAAGCACGGCCAGCAAGCAGGGATTGAAGGTGTCTGCTTGCAAGCTGTGGGTCCTGGGTCCCAGGTCTGAGGGAAACAGAGGCCTCCCGTGTTTGTTTGTTTCTTTGTTCATGAAACATGGAGGATCCTGGGAGCCACATTTGTGAGTGAACAAAACACATAGGCTTTTAAAAAATGAGCTGCACAAAATTATGGATCTCACTGTGACATTTTCAAAGATGTTCAATGTACTGTATTGTATTTACCCCCCATTACCATTTCCCGTACCCCCTTTCTCTTCCCAAACATGTAGTCTATTTTCTACCTCCATGTCTTTTTTAAAAATGTACATTTTTTGCCCATGAGAAAGTTTTATGTGGTGTTTATCTTCTTTGTGGCTAAATAATACTCCATTATGTACATGTGGCATGCTTTCTTCATTTATCAAATGATGGGTTCCTGGGCTGATTCCATAGCTTGGTTCTCATGAATTTTGCAGGTATGCAGGTGTGCAGGTGTGCAGGTGTGCATGTGAGCAGATGAGGTGAGCAGGTATGCAGGTGAGCAGGTGTGCAGGTGTGTGGTTGGTGAGCAGGTGATCAAGTGAGCAGGTGTGCAGATGTGCAGGTGTGTAGTTGGTGAGCAGGTGATCAAGTGAGCAGGTGATCAAGTGATCAAGTGAAGGTGATCAGGTGTGCATGTGAGATGAGAAGGTGATCAGGTGTGCAGGTGACCAGGTATGCAGGTATGCAGATGTGCAGGTATGTGGTTGGTGAGCAGATATGCAGGTGTGCAGGTGTGTGGTTGGTGAGCAGGTGTGTGGTTGGTGAGCAGGTGTGCAGGTGAGGAGGTGTGCAGATATGTGGGTGAGCAGGTGTGCAGTTGTACAGTGGGTGAGGTGTGCAGGTGTACAGGTACACGGGTGAGCAGGTGTGGTGCACAGGTGAGCAGGCCAGCAGGTATGCAGATGTAGTGATTGTGTGTTTAGATTCCTTCAGGTATATACCCAGGTCACATGGTAGTTTTACTTCCACTTGTTTTTTGGGGGGAGCTCCATGCTGGTTTCTAAGGGGCTGAGATAACTTATAGTCCTTCCAAGAATGTGTAAGAACTCCTTCCTACCAGCCATCCGTACCAACATTTGTATATAAATAAGTATATATACACATATATCCACACACACACACGTACCCATGTAGACACACACGTGTGTCCATGTTCACATACATGGACATGCATCGTGCTTATGTGTGTACATGCATGCCATTCTGACCGGAGCAGATCCGTGTCCTTGTTGTCATCGACACTCTTGGAGAGCACTCACCACAGCATCCAGCCACTGGTTGAGATGCTGCCTGAGCTGATCTCAAATTGTGGTCTTCAATATCCACTCTGGCGTAGCTGGAGTTGCAGGACTGAGCCCGGGCACCCAGGTGCCCAGGCACCTGGCAGCCCTCTATGGCCCACCACACTGGGGGCCTTAGCTGCTTTTCACACCCTCGCAGTGGGACACCGATCTCCTCAAGACCATCGTGGAAGCCACGCGGCAGGCAGGTGAGCCATGGCCTCTGGCCTCGGCCGTGGTGCACCTTCCCCGGTGGCCAGCAAAGCCACATCCTCCCGGCTCCCTGGAGGCACTGAGGCTCTAGGGACATTATGGCAAGGTCAAGGCTGGGCTGAGCTCCGCCCAGGATTCCACCACCACCATCCAAACTCCCAACACTCCTCCTTCGGAGGCTGTTTACCTCGGGTCACGGTGGCATAAGGAGGCAGCAAGGTCGACCCGGGAGGACAGGGGTCTGTCGAGGATCCCACCTGGAGGTCTCCACCTGCTGGCCCTGCTGGCGCCAGAGCCAGCGGGCGTGATGTCATTGCCTCCTCTGGGGACACAGGCGTCACAATGGTGACAGAACTGCTGGCAGGTTCTTCTCTGTGACAACAGGTCGTGGCCCTATTGGAAAAAGCCAGTTATTATTCTGCTTTCCATTTGTCTTGCTGAACGTTATGTTGTGATGCCTCTCACTCTTCACAGATAGTGTCAGTGACGCGCATGGTGTGTGTTGCTGAACGTCTCTGCTATAGGGCGGAGATGGTTTGAAGACTCTGGATTTCCCTGGAGAGCAAACCCCTGCTTGTGTGCTCTCACAGCCTGGATGTAGTCAGAGACCCAAGACCCTAGCAGTCCCACGGCCTGACTTGTGGCAGCCACCCTGGGACACAGGGATAGCTCTGCGGCCAGGCTCAGTCTTAAGACTGTGAGCCAGGCCAGGGTGGCCACACACCCTACCCACTGGCCCCACCAAAGCCCCAGACACTTGGCTCCACTGGGAAGCCACGGCTGACCAGCTTGTCCAGAAGCCGGTGGGTGGGGGTGTGCAAAGGCACACCCAGGCAAGAGGGCAAGCACTGCCCACTTCAGCCTCACTTCCAGGACATGGAGGAAAGACAGCCCCAGCTGGAGGCCACCCGTGGAGACCACTCAGTCTGAAGCCATCCCTCCTACCCCTTCCTTCTTTCTTTCCTTCCTTCCCTCCCTCCCTTCCTTCTTTCCCTCCTTTCCTTCCCTTTGTTCCTCCCTCCCTCCCTCCCTCCCTTCCTTCCCTCCCTCCCTCCCTCCCTCCCTCCCTCCTTCCTTCCCTTGTTCAGTAATTTCCTATTCATTGAGGTCCGAAGTTACTGGGATCCCAACCAACCCCTGGACACACACTTGCCACCCGCTCTCAGTGCCCCTACTTTAGCAGAGGGATGGGGTGAGCCCCACTGGCCCCCAGGGCTCATGGGAGCACCACAGCGGGGTGGGGCCCAACTCCTCTGTATTCCGGAGGACTCGGCCAAGCTATGGTTATCTTGTGGGTTGGAGTAATCATCCATTGGTGTACAGGAGTCGCGTGGGGGCAGAGCCCAGCGTGCCTGGAGGGGTGAAGAGCTTCCCCATCCATCCACGCCAGGGCCAGAGTCAGCACAAAGAGGAGCCGTGTGGAGGGAGTCAAGGGGGGACACACTGAAAGCCTTCCACAAGGTCGGGGAGCAAAACTCCATTTTCACAATGTCCTCAGCCTGGTAAAACTGGAGGAAAAAACAGCAGATTGGAGACTGGGATGGGTGAGGGGGAAAGAGGATGAGTCTTACGGGCTGGGGATGCACAGCGCTCACGCACACACACACACACACACACACACACACATTCACACACACATTCACACGTGAAACAGGAAACTATTCAGGGCAGGGCCGCATGTCAGCAGCATGTGGTGGGATGTCTACCTGAGGCTGAGTGGGGGGGAGCCGGGGCGGGCATGGGGGGGGTGAGGCGGGACGAGGGGGGAGGGGGGAGCCGGGGCGGGCATGGGGGGGGTGAGGCGGGACGAGGGGGGAGGGGGGAGCCGGGGCGGGCATGGGGGGGGTGAGGCGGGACGAGGGGGCGAGGGGGGAGCCGGGGCAGGCATGGGGGGGGGTGAGGCGGGACGAGGGGGGAGGGGGAGCCGGGGCGGGCATGGGGGGGTGAGGCGGGACGAGGGGGGAGGGGGAGCCGGGGCGGGCATGGGGGGGTGAGGCGGGACGAGGGGGGAGGGGGAGCCGGGGCGGGCATGGGGGGGGTGAGGCGGGATGAGGGGGGAGGGGGGAGCCGGGGCGGGCATGGGGGGGGGTGAGGCGGGACGGGGGGGGAGGGGGGAGCCGGGGCGGGCATGGGGGGGGTGAGGCGGGACGGGGGGGAGGGGGGAGCCGGGGCGGGCATGGGGGGGGTGAGGCGGGATGGGGGGGAGGGGGAGCCGGGGCGGGCATGGGGGGGTGAGGCGGGACGAGGGGGGAGGGGGGAGCCGGGGCGGGCATGGGGGGGGGTGAGGCGGGACGGGGGGGAGGGGGAGCCGGGGCGGGCATGGGGGGGTGAGGCGGGACGAGGGGGGAGGGGGGAGCCGGGGCGGGCATGGGGGGCAGGGTGGGGTGGGAGCCTGCATCAGGGGCTCTCATGGCTGCATGCTTTCCAAATACAGGTTAAAGGGAGAGCCACTTTGTCCTCCAACTCAGCTTTGGCTGCAGGTCAGCCTGGACCAGCGCTCCGCAGGAGACACGGACCAGCGGTGTGCTGCTAGAAAAGCTCACGAGTGTCTTCTGGCCAGCTCGGGAGGCACGGTGTCCTTCGGTCATGGCCACAGGGCAGAGACCCAGCAGGGTCTGCCACCTCTTCCGGCCAGCTGATCGCCAAAGCACCAGTGGGTGGGGCAGCTCCCCCGTGGCCTGCCAGCTCCCCACAACTTGTCCTGACCCTTGGGGAGCAGAGAGGCACAGTGGGAGGCAGATGCCCAGCAGAAAGCCCCACGGACCACTGCGAAGCCCAGTCCCACCTCCAAGGGGACTCGAGGGATCCAAGACTGGAGCACGGGGCTTGGCCTGTGCGCTGGACAGGGCTGCGCCCCTCCGCACCCCTGGCAGGGCTCGGGGCAGAGGGACACTGGGGGAGGGCCCAGGGAGAGAGCAAGCTGTCAGAATGCTGGCTGGCATTTGTTCAAGAAGGCCTGGCGAGTCATTCTGATCAGAAAAGGATGAGTTTGACATGACCAAGTCAGAGGATCCTTCTCCAGGGAAAGCTGTAGAAAAAGAAAGTTCTAGAAAGCAGGAGCCTGGCAAGTCACTGATATTCCCCTCCAGGGACGGCTGCCTGGCTCCTCATGCCGAGGACAGTCCATTCCCCGGGGACCCAGCCCCCAGGGAGAGGAGCCACGCAGGGGCCCAGCTCCTGTGAGGAGAAGCTACAAATGTTCGTGAAATCTGTGCAGATGGAGGCAGAGAAGCTGGCCGAGCTGGTCCGGCGCCTCATGCACCCGGAGGTATTCAGAGAGCACCCCACCGCACCTGCCTGGGGCACCCCAGCACTGAGAACAGCCAGGGCCCAAGGATGGCCCGCTCAGGCACTGGAGACGGCTGCTGAGCAGAGGCTGAGCAGAGGCTTCTAGCCCACAGGTGCACGCCACCCCCACCAACCTCAGTCTTCCCTGTGCGAGTTGCCCCTCAGCCTGGGACCCCGGGACCCCGGGACCCCTTGCTCTCTATGCTTTTCCCTGTCTCTGAGAGAGAGCTGCCACTCAGGAGAGCTCAGATCTGTTGGCCACGGTTCCTCTGAGTCGGGTTCACTAGGATCCCCTCCTTGCCCTCTCGGCTTTTCCACAACAGCAGTCTGCTGCCCCCAGTGCCCCGCGCTTTTGATGCAGGAATCAGTGCCACACTGCCATCCCCCAGCACTCGGACCTCATAGGAGCTGTGCTGCCCAGATGCAGGGGCCGATGCCCGCTGCTGCCAGCCGATGCCCGTCTCAGGGCCGGTGCCTGCTGCTGCCAGCCGATGCCCGGCTCAGGGCCGGTGCCCACCACCACCAGCCGATGCCCAGCTCAGGGCCAGTGCCCACCGCTGCCAGCCGATGCCCGGCTCAGGGCCGGTGCCCACTGCTGCCAGCCGATGCCCAGCTCAGGGCAGCTGCCGGCCACTCTGGCTCAGTCTGCACACTGCGGAGCCATTTTCCTTTTGAACCTATCCACTTCCAAACGTTCCTCTGGTTGGCATTTGGGATGTCATCCAACATCCTTCATGGGAATTCTGGACCTCAGGGGGTTCCAGAAGTTTCCACAGAACTCACAGGGTGGGTACACCCCAGGTCCTGCCTCATCTCTAACCAGACTTGACCTTGGGGTGAGGGAGGGGCTCACTGTACCCATTCCCAGGGGGCTGAAAGGTGCCTTCCACCCTGGGTGGGAACTAATGGCTTCCTCCGCCAAAGGAGGATGTCATGAAATCAGACCCCACCCACGTCCCTCAACTTGAGCACAGCACCCCCATCTCCTGTACTCCCACACACTGGGGCGGTGGGCATGTGCAGGGCACAGCCGTACAGGCTGGGGGAGCGTGCAGGGCAGCCGTACGGGCTGGGGGCATGTGCAGGGTTGGGTCCTCCCACAGGCTCCAGGGCACAGTCTTCTAGGAGTCCCTTGAGGTCTGCTGTCAGAGTTGGTATCAGTGAGCCAGCACAGCTGTGGGCCTGGTGTTCGGGGCACACAGCAGCCCAGTCCTCCCAGCCCCCCTGCCGCTCTGCTGCTGCAGGGCTTCAGCCTCAGGAGCTGAGCAGGGCAGTGCAATCCTAAGGACAGTGGCCAACAGCTGCGTCCCAACATCCACTGGGCCTGGTGCTCATGTCCACCCGGACAGCCCCAGGCCCCGCCAGGGCCTGCAGCTCCTGATGATCTCACTGCTCCTCACCCCAAAGTGAGGCCTGCCTTCCCACAGCAGCTGCTCCTAGGCCTCACGGGGAATGAATGGAACACTGCCAGGGCAGGGGGCGGGGCAGCCTGCCGGGCGCTCCTCTGGGGCTGAGGCCGCTCTATCTTCTCCTAGGAACCTTCAGAGGACGGGAGGGAGGGATCACAGGCCTTGGGTGCATTTGGGGACGGTACATCAAGCCCTCCACCCAGTCTGGGAGGGCGCAGTGTCGCCCTTACTGTGACTGAAAGCAGGCCCACCCGCCTCAGACCTCAGCCTCCACTCACAGCGCCCAGCACCACCCCACGTGGGGAGGAGTCTAGATGAGGCAGGCAGAGGGGTTTCTATGATCCGAAAGCGCAGTGGTGGCCAGTGGTGGGGCCAGCTGGTCCTGTTCCCTGGGGAAGGGGACACGGGGGACTTGAAGGACCCATCAGGCTCCACAGCTTCAGGACGCGGAGAAGAGCCACTCACAGCCCAGCTCCCGGAACCAGGCTCAGGCGGCAGGGTGTGAGTGCGCAGCTGGCTCATTCAGGGATGCTGCACTGCTGAGAAGCTCCCAGAAGCAGACCCCACGCGCTGCCTGCACGCAGACCGGAGGTGGCCCGGGCCGCCTGATGAATTGAATTAATTACACAAGTGCTACAGAGATGCTTCCGCCAAGGCAGTTGCTTTCCTGCTTTATTATTTAGCCTCTCTCAAATTAGCACACAGCTGCAGGGGGAATGCCAAAGCACACGCCAGGCACAGGAGAGCAGTGTGGCCACGCGACACCACCCCAGCAGCTAGGTGAAGAAGTCGGGGAAGATGGCGTCGGCTTCATCCCTCAGCTCAGACTCCCAGCTGCCCAGGTCCGAGCTCCACAGCTCCAGGGAGCCGTCCGGGAGCTCTGGGGAGCCAGGCTCGGGATCCCCCAGGATGCCCAGCTCGGCCTGGTCCGCTGGACTGCCCCTAGCTGGGCTTGCGCCTCCATCTCCCTCTACGGTTCCTGGAAGCAAGGGCGTGCAGCCTCTGGGTCAGAGGGCACCTGGGGAGGTTCCCCACCCCCACCTTGGGGGAACCCTCTCAGGCCAGAACCGTGACCGTGCACCCCTAACCCTGGACGCCACAGCAGGAGGCCACACCCCCTGTGACGTTTCAGGTGCTCAGAGCCTGGCAGAAAGCGGGACCTAAGGTCTGGAGAAAAGGCACCACCGCTAGGCAATCCCGCATCATGTGACCAGGCACCCTGTCCTGTCACCCGCTCCCCTGCTGGTCACCCCCAGAGACTCTGCCAGCTGGCGGGCACCCTATCCCCCAACCCCGCATCGGAAGCCCCAAAGCCTGGGCCAGCGTGGGCGACGGCAGCCTGTGCCGGGTGCACTCACCCTGCCACCAGCCAGCACTGGCGGTCATCAGAAAAGCCCGCCCGTCCTCCAGGCCTGACCCTGGCAGAGACCTGGAAGCAAAAAGACCAGCAAGTGGCCCACGGGTAGACCAGGGCCCCACATCTTCAAAAGGCCACTTCAGGTGTGAAGGGGGTTGCTCCGGGAGCAAGGCCAGACAAGGCAGGACACGGGAGCTTCTGCCAAGAGAAAGGCAGAGCGGGCAGAGGGCGGAAGGCTGGCACTTTGCCACAGGCCGTGGCCGAGGGGCCCCAGCGCCGCCTTGCCGGTGTCTGCCCGGCCGCAGGGTCCCTGGCTGCTCCACCCCCACACCCCCAGCTGGTGTGTGCTCCCCAACACAAACACGGCCCGCCATCAGACTAAACAAGAGACAATCAGGAGAGCGTGTCTTCAGAAACAGCCATTAGCAAGCCACATGGTGAGCCTGCCCTGGGCGCCCGGCTCAACCTCCCTGCATTGCCAAGAGAGAGGCACAGAAGCTTCCAGGTGGAGAGAGAGCCTGGAGCAGGACTGGAGACAGGCAAGAGGCAGCTCACCCATGTGTGCACGAACCCACCCAGGTACCTACCTCGCATCAGCCATGAGGGCCGAGCCCTCCCCGGCCTCCTCCGCCAGCCCACTGGGAGATTCAGTGTCCCTCGCCAACGGGGGCAGCCCAAGGAAGTCCTCCTCGCCAATCCCAGGAGAGCCCAGCGGCCAGGAGTGCACAGGCCAGGGTAGGAGTTCGGAATCGGGGCTGTGAGGCTCTGGGGGGTGGGAGGGGAGGTGGTCAGTCCCCCTTGCCCGCAGCCCCACCACCCTGACTTCCTCCCATTGATGCGGGAGAAGGCCAGAGTGGGTGGCAAGCTCCACTCAAGACGAACACGCGCTCTGAGTGGCTGGGGGGAGGGGGTCATCAGAGGATCTCCTCAGAGGACAGGCACCACAGGCACAGAGCAGGGCTGGGTCTCGGTGGCCTCCATGAGCGCAGGCCCGCACCGATGACCAGCGGCTCGAAGGCTGCAGGCTCAGACCCTACCAATTCAGGCTTCCACACAGCCAGCCCGGGCAGGGGGTGGGTGACCCTGGAAACGCGGGGCTCTGGCCAAATGCTACCCACAAAGGGCCACGAAGCCAGGGGCTTCTGCTTGTAATCCTAGCTACTCAGTAAACTGAGACTTGGAAGATGGCAGTTTGAAGCCAGCCCGGGCAGAAAAGTCTGTGAGACTCCATCTCCACCATCTCCAATCAACCCACAAAATGGCAAGATAGAGGTGGGGCTCAAGCGGAAGATCACCGAAAGCCAAATGAGAGCACAGGGCCCGGAGTTCAAGCCCCAAAGACCAGCACAAAACAAAACCCAGGATGAGCAGGTAAGAGAAGCAAAGCCACAGCATGAGGTGGCTGCACAAACGGACAACAGAGGGGTGGCCGGGCCGGGCACCAGTGGCTCACGCCTGTAAACCTAGCTACTCAGGAGGCTGAGATCTGAGAATCGAGGTTCAAAGCCAGCCCGGGCAGGAAAGTCCGTGAGACTCTTATCTCTAATAAACCACTAGAAAACCGGAAGTGGCGCTGTGGCTCAAGTGGTAGGGTGCTGGCCTTGTGCTGAAGAGTGCAGGGATGATGCCCAAGCCCAGGGTTCAAGCCCCACAGCCGACAAAAGAGAGGGGGGAGGGGCAGCCGGGCAGCCACGTCCCTCTGTGCCCCTGTGCTCCCTAGCACACCTAGTGACCCCCAGAGGTGGGGGGGGTGTGCCAGGGCAGTCCCCAGAGCATGCTGAAGGATCAGAACTGGAGTTGGGTGTAAACGATGCTAGAAAGCCAAGGATGCATGCCCTCCCTCAGGGAGGCCCAAGGTCGGCTGGGGGTTTTACAAAGAGAAGACGACATGGAACCATGGGTGCCCCCACATTCTTGGGGTCAGAGGGCACTCCGGCTACACTCCCAGTCCCAGGCGTACCCGGGAGGGAGGGCGGCCTCTCCGGCAGTGTGGCCAGGACATCGGCACCCTGCGGCCTCTCAGGCAGCGCGGCGGCCGCCTCTGTCTTCTCCACGTTCCTCGGTGCACGTCGGGGCTCCCGCTTCCTGGGTAAGGGGAAGACACAGGGTGCCCTGGGCCACAGGAACGCAGAGCCGTGGGTCCCTTGCCTCCAGCAGCCCAAGTCTGCTCTGGGACACGCCGCGTCCACTTCCACCAGCGGCCTGCCTCAGCGAGACACTCACACAGCTCTGCCCCGCCTGTTCCGTTTGCTGTCTGGAACCTGACTGGCCAGGGTCAGGTGCAGAACTTCCTCCTGCCACGCGTGCCACGACTCCTTGGTGGGAGTGGGAACCTGAAATGCAGACACACGCCGGCCACGTGGAGAAGAAAGAGCTTCCCCCACCCCCGCCCTGGGGAGAGCAGCTGAAGTCAGCACAGCTGCCGCAGGCCCCCGGGGAACCAGAGGATCCCCTGCGCCTGGCCTGGGCTCCGGACAGAGGCAGGACCCTCTGAGGCAGAGACTCCTCCAACGCCTTGCCACCCTCGCAGGGCCCTGGACACGGGCGCTTGCCCCGCCCCGACTAAAGGTCAGGATCGCTGTGCCAGGAAGGCCTCTGCCACGAGCCCCTGCCTCTCACGGGCTCCTCTGAGGGCCCAAAGCTCAGGAAGACCGAATGGTATTCGGCCAGACCTTGCAGGGAGACCGCACTCCCTGCAGTCCACAAGGCTTGGGGGACAGGAGGGCAACTTACAGTGAGCTGCTCCCAACCAGGCACCAGGGTGTGGGCGAGCTGGAGGAACTGCACGGCCATCTCCAGCACTGAGGCCATGTCCTCCCGCCGGTCGCTGAACTGGGGCAGCAGGGCCCGAAGCCGCTCGCAGCTCGTGGCGATCCGTTTCCTGTACCCCAACAATAAACATCCAAGCCCCAGGTGGCCTTTCACTAGCAGAAGGGACTGCGGCTGCTGGAGCTGGAACCCACCACCCAGCAATCCAGGGCCCCCGTGGCGGCGGGGTCCCCAGACCACAGCCGTCAAGCCGCTCCCTGGCAGCCCCAGCTCCTGGGCTCCGCACAGACCCCAACCCAGGCTGCCCAGAGGCTGGCTGGCTGCAGAGCTGCCCTGTGCCCCCAGGTCCCGTCCCTGCCGCCTGGCACGGGGCAAACCACGGCCCTCACACCTCCCGTTCATCTCTGAAGGCATCGCCCCCATACCTGCGGGATCTCTCGCTAGCCACGTTCCTGGGCAGGGAGTCCTCCGAGGAGGGGGGGCTCTGGTCAGGCCCCGAGCCGGGAGCCGGGTCCTCAAAACCCGCCAGGACGTCAAACCCGGAAGAGTCGCTAGAGAGACAACACAGCCAGCCCTGAACCCCAGAAAAGCCACCCAGAGCCCCACCTGGTAACGGGAAGTCTGTGGGAACGTGGGGAGTGGGAGAACGCAGCTGCCCGGCCGGCCACACCCGCCCCTCCGCTCCCCTCCCGGGCCCCGGCCGGAGCCAGGGCTCTGCACCAGGCAGGGTGAGGACCCCCGCCTCTCCCGCCCGGCCCTTCACCTGCAGGCCTCGAGGCCCCCGGGTCCCGGAGACGGAGGGGCCCCGGTGGGCTGCCCGCCCCAGGACGCCATGGACAAGGAAGGCAGCGGGGAGCCGCAGGCGGAGCGCAGCCCAGCCCAGCCGCCCCAGCTCGCGGCGCCAGCCCCACCCCCTCCCGCGTGCACCTGGCGCCTCTGCCGCGAGGGAGGGAGGCGGAGGCGGCGCCGCCCGCCACGTGCGCCCTGCGCCCCTGCCGCCCTGCCCTGCGCGCCCCGCCCGACACCTGCGCCCTGCGCCCCGGCCGCCCTGCCCTGCGCGCCCCGCCCGACACCTGCGCCCTGCGCCCCTGCGGCTCTGCCCCGTGCGCTCAGCCTGCCACACCCCTTCCTGCGCGCCCGGCCTGCCGCGCCCCTCCCTGCGCGCCCGGCCCGCCGCGCCCCTCCCTGCGCGCCCGGCCCGCCGCGCCCCTCCCTGCGCGCCCGGCCCGCTGTGCCTCCCCACCCGCACTCTGCCCGCCGCGCCCCTCCCTGCGCCCCGCGCCTCGCGCCCCACCCCCTGCACGCTGTACGCTAGACCCCTCCCTGCGTGCCCTGCCCCTCCCTGCACCCCTGCGGCCCCGCCCCCCGCACACTGCCCGCCGCGCCCCTCCCTGCGCGCCCTGCCCCGCACGCCCCTCCCTGCGGACCGTGCCCTCTGCGCTCCTCCACGCCTGCCCTGCGCACCCTACCCACCGCGCCCCTCCCTGCATGCCCTGCACTCCCTGCCCACCCCTCCCTGGGCACCTTCTGGAGAAGTTGCTAGAACACAAGTGGCCTATGTGCACCCCTCCCCAGCCCCTCACACCTCCAGAGGTGCCTACCTCCACACTTCCTTTCCTGGGGTCACCCAAGTTCGCCTTTTTCTCTGCTCCCCGTTACTCCCCCTTCTCTGCTGCTCCCCCTCTCTGCTGCTCCCCCTCTCTGCTGCTCCCCTGTTCTCTGCTGCTCCCCCTCTCTGCTGCTCCCCCTCTCTGCTGCTCCCCCTCTCTGCTGCTCCCCTGTTCTCTGCTGCTCCCCTGTTCTCTGCTGCTCCCCCTCTCTGCTGCTCCCCTGTTCTCTGCTGCTCCCCCTCTCTGCTGCTCCCCCTCTCTGCTGCTCCCCCTCTCTGCTGCTCCCCCTCTCTGCTGCTCCCCCTCTCTGCTGCTCCCCTGTTCTCTGCTGCTCCCCTTCTCTGCTGCTCCCCTGTTCTCTGCTGCTCCCCCTCTCTGCTGCTCCCCTGTTCTCTGCTGCTCCCCCTCTCTGCTGCTCCCCCTCTCTGCTGCTCCCCCTCTCTGCTGCTCCCCCTCTCTGCTGCTCCCCTGTTTTCTGCTGCTCCCCCTCTCTGCTGCTCCCCCTCTCTGCTGCTCCCCCTCTCTGCTGCTCCCCTGTTCTCTGCTGCTCCCCTTCTCTGCTGCTCCCCTGTTCTCTGCTGCTCCCCCTCTCTGCTGCTCCCCTGTTCTCTGCTGCTCCCCCTCTCTGCTGCTCCCCCTCTCTGCTGCTCCCCCTCTCTGCTGCTCCCCCTCTCTGCTGCTCCCCCTCTCTGCTACTCCCCCTCTCTGCTGCTCCCCCCTCTCTGCTGCTCCCCTGTTCTCTGCTGCTCCCCTGTTCTCTGCTGCTCCCCCTCTCTGCTGCTCCCCTGTTCTCTGCTGCTCCCCCTCTCTGCTGCTCCCCTGTTCTCTGCTGCTCCCCCTCTCTGCTGCTCCCCTGTTCTCTGCTGCTCCCCCTCTCTGCTGCTCCCCTGTTCTCTGCTGCTCCCCCTCTCTGCTGCTCCCCTGTTCTCTGCTGCTCCCCCTCTCTGCTGCTCCCCTGTTCTCTGCTGCTCCCCTGTTCTCTGCTGCTCCCCCTCTCTGCTGCTCCCCTGTTCTCTGCTGCTCCCCCTCTCTGCTGCTCCCCTGTTCTCTGCTGCTCCCCCTCTCTGCTGCTCCCCCTCTCTGCTGCTCCCCCTCTCTGCTGCTCCCCTGTTCTCTGCTGCTCCCCTGTTCTCTGCTGCTCCCCCTCTCTGCTGCTCCCCTGTTCTCTGCTGCTCCCCTGTTCTCTGCTGCTCCCCCTCTCTGCTGCTCCCCTGTTCTCTGCTGCTCCCCTGTTCTCTGCTGCTCCCCTGTTCTCTGCTGCTCCCCCTCTCTGCTGCTCCCTCTCTCTGCTGCTCCCCCTCTCTGCTGCTCCCCTGTTCTCTGCTGCTCCCCCTCTCTGCTGCTCCCCTGTTCTCTGCTGCTCCCCCTCTCTGCTACTCCCCCTCTCTGCTGCTCCCCCTCTCTGCTGCTCCCCCTCTCTGCTGCTCCCCCTCTCTGCTGCTCCCCTGTTCTCTGCTGCTCCCCCTCTCTGCTACTCCCCTGTTCTCTGCTGCTCCCCCTCTCTGCTGCTCCCCTCTCTGCTGCTCCCCCTCTCTGCTACTCCCCTGTTCTCTGCTGCTCCCCCTCTCTGCTGCTCCCCTCTCTGCTGCTCCCCCTCTCTGCTGCTCCCCTGTTCTCTGCTGCTCCCCCTCTCTGCTGCTCCCCCTCTCTGCTGCTCCCCTTCTCTGCTGCTCCCCCTCTCTGCTGCTCCCCCTCTCTGCTGCTCCCCCTCTCTGCTGCTCCCCTGTTCTCTGCTACTCCCCCTCTCTGCTGCTCCCCCGTTCTCAGCTGCTCCCCTTCTCAGCTGCTCCCCCATTCTCAGCTGCTCCCCTTCTCAGCTGCTCCCCCGTTCTCAGCTGCTCCCCTGTTCTCTGTTCACCCTGTTCTCTGTTACTCCCGTTCTCTGCTGCCCCAGGGTCATTTTGGAGTGCAGCGCACCCTGGTGGAGAAGCCAGTGTGTGGCTGTGTGATGTAGGGGTGCGGCCCGACCCTGGAGGGCGAGTGTCTGCCCTGTGCTCCTGTCCGCAGGAGCCATGGCAGGCACTCTGTCCAAGGTGTGCCCATCCGCGCTGGCATCGCCAGCTCTCTCCTGCCCACTCTCTCCTGCCCTTCCACCAGGCCTGCTCGTGGGCTCAGCCCCACTCTCTGCCTGGACCCCCTCAGCCTCCAGCTGGCTTGGCGGTGCAGTCAACCCTAAGCCCCACCATGCCGAATCCCAGGGAACACCCTCTTCATGAGAGGAGTGGTGGAGGAATGCAGAGACCTTTGTGGAGAGGGCCTCCGGGATGTTGGCACCATCTGGGCAGGGTGGCACGAGGTCACAGGGAGGGCACTGGGCCCCTCCTCTGGGGGCTGCAGCCGGCCCGGCGCCACGCGGTGGGAGCCCTGGTGAGCGCTGGCATGAGCGGGGTCCTGCCAGTCCTCTCGGGCCTCAGGCTGGGGTCCTGGGTGGGTTAAGGTGATCCACAGGTGTGGGAGCTGGGGTAGACTAACCCCTCCCCAGTTCCCCCTTCCAGGCACCGGGGAGGACAGCAGGGCCTGAGGAGGGGCGAGAGGGAGGCAACCAGGAAGCAGCCCAGGCCACCAAGGTGAGGAACCGCAGGCGGGAGCTGCGGAGGGTCCTGAGCTGTGGGCTATGGAGGGTCCTGATGGGGAGTGGACAGTGGACGGTCCTGAGGGGTGGACTATGGACGGGTCCTGAGGCGGGTGCGGCCCCTATGTCTAGACAGAGTGAACCTCTTTGCGCTCAGCTGCTGTCTTGGGTGGTGGGAAGGGTGAGGTGAGTTGTGTGAATCAGAGCCAGAACCCTGAGGACTCTGAGTTCCGTGGGCCTGGCGTTAGTTGGGCAGTGAGGGAAGGCAGTTCAGCCTCAGAAAGAGCCTGTGATGTGGGCAGAAAGCTGTGCAGGACTAGAGCCAGGGCTGGGGGGGGAGGGGGAGCGCCCAGAGCTGCGTGTGCATCACAGGGGTCAGGACCCGGCAGCTGCCAACAGCTGACCTTTGAGTACGAACCCCGGTCCCTGTTCCACCCTGCTCCCGGCTGGGCGTGCGCTGGTGGTGCGCCCCCTCCTTGGGAGAGGGAGACCAAATTCCCTGTCCTTAAAGCCCTCCGAAATGTCACCAGGCTTGTCTCCCTCGGCTGACAACACATAATTATCTCTGATCAGCAACAGCCCACTTCCGCGCAGGCTCTGGTTGAGTGGTGACAGGCCCAGGCTGCATTGCTCCCCCACTTCCTCTCCAGGAGGGGCAGTTGGCCACGGGAAACACAGAGGTTCTGATGGAAACGCCAAGTCCTGCCGGGCTGATGCCCGGGTGGAGGGGGGAACCCGAGGGCCGGCCGGACACAGGCTGCCTGCGGCGGGGACGGCCTCGGGACCCGGCCACGCGCGCTTCCTTCAGCCTGCTGCATCCCACAGCAGACAGGGAAGGGAGCCCACGAGGGACATCGAACCATGCACCCTCAACACTGGCCCCGGACCAGCTCTGCCACAGCCCTGTGGGTGGCTGGGATGTTGGCTCACCCCGATTCCGGTCAGATTCCCAGCCCCCTCCACGGCTGCCTCTCTCTCTGCTCACCCATTGCTATGGACCTGGTTTAGCGAGAGTTCTGGACAGGACCGAACACAAAGCCTTCTGGGGTCTGGAGAACCGGACTCCAGGGCTCCGGCCTGAGCCGGGTGTCCAGTGCACCAAGCCCATGCAAGCAACAGACAGGGTCTGCGGCAGGGGCTGCTTCTTCCCAGAGGTCTTCCCGGTGGCTGGTGTGTGCGCAGCCCCAAGGTGGCCCCTGCCAGCCCCACACCCCCTTTGGGAAGGCACAATGTGACCAAGCGCTGACTGGAGCCAGTCTGGCAACCTCCTGGCGGTATGGCGCACTGGGCAGCACCCAAGGAGCTGGTGCATGTGCCCTGGTGCCCCTCTGCCCTGTGCCTGGGGATGGGCAGCCGACCACCAGCAGAACCCAGCAGCCTGGAAGCAGATGGGGCGCTGCCCTGCGGGGTCATAACAAGCCCACTTTGACCCAAAGAGAATGCACGCCCCCTTCCCCCGGGCCCTTGGGGTGGCTCAGGTCCTGTGGGATGGGCCCCCTCCCACCATGGGGTCCAGGGGAGAGCGGCAGGAACGCGCCCTTGGGGTTTCTAGACACTGAGGAGGCTGTCCTGCTTTGGAGGCCTAGGAAAGAGGGGCTGGGCAGAGACCGCCAGACCCTCACTCCCTCTCCCCCCCGCCTCCCGCCCCGGCC